AATATTGCAGGAAGGACTCTTACCACTTTATTCCTCGGGTTTCGTGGACAAGAACACAATGTTGTTCCAGGAAGATGGAGCACCGTGTCACACTGCTAGAAACACCCAATAGTGGCAGGAAGAAAATGGTATCCAGAAGTTGCCCTGGCCGAGCCAATCTCCTGACATGAACCCCATTGAAAACCTCTGGGCCATACTCGACCGACAAGTCAAGAAACAACCAAAAAACCAACTTCGAAGAGCGATCTACTCCAAGTTTTGAAGCAAGAGTGGGCGAAAATTCCACAATCTAAAATTGACGAGATGATTCTCACGATGCCCCAAAGGATCAACGAACTCCACGAAGCGAAAGGAAGATCTACTAGATATTAATTAAATTGTAAATATATCAATTCATGTGAATATGACTGAAAAATTAAATTTTTTCTTAAAAGGTGGTGTCTATTTACTTGTGACCACGCTGTGTATGCTTAATAACAAACAACCAGTTTAATCTTAACTGAAAATGACACTTGAAGTCAATATTACGTTATAAAGTCAATGCGATTAACTATTGCTAACTAATACCATAAGCGAACTTCTCCTATTTATTTGGTTGATTGGATTTAGTTCTTTCTTCTGGTTTCAAATAAAATGTTGCTTGATACTTTATATATAAAAAAACTAAATTGTAAGGTCTTTGGAAAGTGAATTGCTGCATCCAATTAAAAGGCAATTCCGTTAGCCTCGATTTTTCTTAACTGTTGCATTATTTAACAAAACTCTATTATCCACCATTCTTCTTACTGGAATTTCCTCAATATTTTGTGAGTTAACTACCAGGTACGAGCCACATAGCTTACTACGCAATCCTTTTCTTGAACATATATAAATATTATCTGTAGCTTTATGATAGAAATTCATGAAATTTGTTTTAGCTTGTATTGGCTGGGAACCAATATTTATCAATTCAGTAAGTTAATGGTTATCTTCACCTTAGCTATTTGTGAAAATAATAATTCCAAATTATCATCAGAGCCATTGCATGCGGTTTATATAGCGCTAATAGCATCATAGTTACCTCCTCTTAATATCTTTCATTCTAATTAATACATTTCGTCCTTTATTCTGATTTATCATCCACATAGTAACAGTTCTTAACCGATATTCTGTACATGATGTATACAGCTATTTTATTATCAATAGAGGCATTTAATGTTGTCACTACATACAGTAATGTTTCTTGAAACTTCACATTATTGGCACTACAGGTGACACAAGAAGAGGTACTCCGACTATGTCATTGCACCATTCCCTATCCAGAAGCTTTCCATAAGGACTTCACCAAATTCGCCTACACTCCACGTTTACTCGCTGAGTCGGACTCGTGTTTGGTAAATTCACCGTTTTATTCATGAAATAAAGTAGACTATAATACGATTTCTTGTTCTTTTGAGGTGCCATCTGTCCGTTATCCCATAGGGAACTCCTCTATTTACTTGTTTGTTCCATGGCCTCTAACATCTTGTTAGAAGACAGCTACAGTTATATTTTCATAATCAATTTTTTTTTCTTACACGAAATTTTCTAATATAAGGCATCTTCAATGTTTTACCAAGATCGACTATAAATGGGTATCAATCTTTTGTTCCACGAATTATACAAACTCCACCAAGAGTCAACATTTGAAAGTAATATACTATGTAATGTCATCCAACGTAACAACAATGTTTTCTAGAATGTTCTGCTCCCAAGTCGGGGGGGAAGACACAGACCACGTAAAATCCTTCAAATGTTTACTCCTATCATTTGGTTGCAGAACGTTCTCTATTTCTATGTTCAGACTATTTTAACCTATTTATGTATGTGTGTGTGTGTGTGTGTGTGTGTGTGTATATATATATAAAATTTATTGTTCTCTCGAGAAAGCCTGTCAAAACATAGTTTGTCTTAGAGGACCGGGCGTAGTTAAATAGATGGCGTGCCTGGACTGTGAGTTTGAGATTTCTTGGTTCGCGTTCTATTGCAACAAGATGCGTTTCACACTTTGCTGCTTTGGTTGAGCTATGATAGTGACAGTCGAATCCCAGTGTTCGATCAGAGTAGCCCAAGAGTTGGTAGTAGGCTCTGAATAGTTCCTATTAGTTTAATTTTAGGAATGGCTATGCATTAAGAATGGATACAAAGATAGTCTTGTAAATTTTGAACTTAATAGTAATCTTCCCACTTTTAATGAATTGACTTTTTTCTCAGTTACTTATCAATAAAATGAGTGATTTTTAAATTTTGCAAAGTTAAGAAACACTGCTTATAATTCAATATTTCATGTTGCTATAAACATTTCGCTGTTCTAATTACTGTTTAATTCCATAACTGCTCTTATATAAAAAAAATAATGCATTTAAAATATTATTAATTTTTACGTTAAATTGTTAAATTCATCCGAGTTTCAAATGCATTATTGTTTACAAACTGAATTACTTGATATGTTTATGAATATTTCAAATTCTTTTTAATGGTTCGTTAGCTTCAATCTATGAATAGCATATGTAATTCTGTTGCTCATTTAAGAGTAGCATATTTATTTTGTTAATTAACTTAAAATTATAATGACACCAACTTTATTCATTGGTTGAGGAATTTGAAGCACTTGTAGCGTCATTACTTTCTTCTTAGGCTGTGATGAGTATGTTCAAGAATCTTGGGATGATGACTCGATGGAGAATACGGAAAGAAACCTTGGCTAGGTAAGTTGAATACAAATGGTAACTTTTAGACAGAAAACTATAAAGGATATGGAGTATGTTTATATGTACTAGATTTTATGTAATGTATAAATACACATTTTGATTATTAAGGTCTTGAATATATATGTGAAGTTTTGCAATTATATCTTACTCGGTAGACTCTCGTTTAATAAATAAGCTTAAAGTTTTTTCTGTAAAATGTTTTTTCTGTTGTGTGAATAAACAATTACATTTATGTCATTTCAGAAACTATTTTGTTTTCTTAACTAAAACCACATGCGAATGATAGGAACTTTAAATTTAAAATTAAGATATAAATATTTTAAACGTCCAGTACTCTGAAGAGATCGTGCATAAAATAAAAATTCCTGGGTCATATTAATTTTTATTTCAAACAATAACGTTTTACTCAACTGTAGATTTATACTGATGGTCAAAAAAGGTTACAGAGACCTACCTTACCACAATTGGACACACGCCTTTGCAGTTGGTCATTTCTGTTACTTGCTGTTGAAAAACCTCAACTTAATGGGAAGTTATCTAACGTAAGACATAGTTTTTCAATGTAGTTCCTTCATTCCTATGAACACTTATTGTATACTTTGGTGAAATAATTATTTTTAATAAACTTTTCTTAAATACCGAATTCCTTTTTATGAAAGGTAATGTGACATTTACGATTCGAATTGAGTAAATTATGAATTAAAAACGACCAAATAAGAACTTTCATAATCAATTATTCAAACCTAGAAATAAATTCTCGTTAATTTTGTTTGTTATTAAGCACAAATATACGCTATAGACTATCTGTTATACTTACCGAACTATGAATTCAAATTGATAAGCACTCGGACTTGCCACAGGGAGTTTCTTATTCGCTAATACTTTAAGTTTTTAAATGCATCTTTATATTATTCATAAGACAAACCGAGATCCCTATATTAAAGTCAAACATTAAATGCCAAAACTTGCTAGAGTTCTTTACAACCTCGTAAGTTTTTTTTGTCTGCTTATAAAATTTGGTGACAAATACAGATGATTAAATCTAAAAAAAAAAGCTGAATATGAAAAAATAATTTCTATCTTAGTAATAGAAGTAATAACTAAATAAAAAAAATTAAATTATATCAACTTTTGTTAGTAGGTAGAGTAAATATAATGAATTATTATTATTGGGCTGCAAAACCCATCAAACTTTACTCTTAATTTTGGTTTTACCTGGTTGTTAAATATAATACATAAGATACTTCTCTTAATAAACAAGTCTCCATCTTGGTTACAAGAAGGATTAATACAGAAAGTAAAGGTGCGAGATAATTGGAAATCGAGGGTTGAATTTAGACAAGCAACATTCCTTAGAAAATAAATTACGAATTCAATTTTGCAAATTCCCTACTAAACATATTGAAATTGTGTTCTTAAAACACGTGTATTGGATTTCTTGCAGACATTTAGAAGGCCTTGCTTTGTTTGTAGCTTGTCTTTGCCACGACCTGGATCACCGGGGTACAAACAACTCCTTTCAAGTAGCTTCAGTAAGTACTGATGCCACCCATAATATATGATTACTGTATACTGATATGATCAGAATGACATGTTTATTATTGATTTTATTTCCCCATAAAAGTTCGTTAATTGTTGTATTGATACCACCAGGCTCTAGGTAATATTTATTGCACTGATGTCATCAGTATTTAATTAGTTATTGCTGAAATGTTACGAAGTTCTTCGATCGATTTTTGTATTGACAAAACTATATTCCTTTATTGTTTATCATGCTTTTGTCAATTGCATAATAAAATAACTATTGTTTTTGTTACATAACTATCTATCAATACCAACTGGATAATTTATCGTCGTTTTAATGGTTTTAATTATTATACTGATGGAATTGGACGATTTTTATATTGATGTCTCAAACTGGGTTGTTTGATTTACCATTATACGAGAGTCACTTGTTTTTTGTATTGGTTTCTCATTAGTTGATTGTATGGTTTGTGGTATTTTCGTATTAACTGATTATTAGGTTGGTCTACCTTATAACGGAAGAATCGACAGGATAAATTACGAAGTAAATCTAAAGTTCATTAAACTGACTTGGTTTTAAGCTAAAAAATAAGAAAACTGGACATGATGTATAATGAACAGTATTTATATCGAAATACAAAACACAATGTGCATACTTGCGTTGGACACCGAACGTTTACCTTCTACTGTACTTGCAAATTGATCAATACATTTTCCGTCGACCAACTTGCTTAATTAATATACCGTGTACAGCTGTTTAAATCGAACGCTCATCACTTAACAGGAAACGTTGGATTTACCTATAACGACTAGTGCTCCTCATGTGACTGATCATTCTCATACAACATAGGGAAGGACGTAACCTGAAGATGACATCTGCTTTACCTTTGAAGGGCGCTGCTATCGTGACCCTTCTTAAACAACGTTTAGCGTTATGGCAATATTCCAATGGGTGTAACGGATATCTCTAGAAAACAACAAAGGTAGCTGGAACAAAGTCAACTTAACGGCTTTCTGGAGCACGTGTTTATGCAAAAACTGCATGATTAGGACTTAATGAAAAACTTAAAAAATGTCACATTAAAATGAGAAGGTGAAAAATGCATGATATGCCTGCATCCCACAAAAGTTCTTGTAATGTGCATCGCAATCGGAGACCGCCAAATTCCTACTTAATATGAAACTAATTTGTCAGCTGTGACACATTTTGACATGAGTTCCATTTTACAACTATGTTTAATCATAGTTTCCCATGATCTATCACCAGTGGATTATGGTTAGAACTTTCCTCCTAATGGCAGGCATATTACGTTTCGATCTCTGACAGCAACACTTCCGCCAGAGGCACCGATTATCGGGTCTCTCTAAAGAAAGTCGTAGAAATCATTGATCCTTCTTTTATAAATTTTATTGCAGAATAATGATATTACTGCACCTCTACATATATAGGACTTAACCAATCACTGAAATGTCACGTGATAAATCTATTTCAAATATGCAAATAAATGAAGTTTTTACAATTATCTGTGTGTGAATCATAATATGGCCAGTCATTGTTTATTTATGATAAAAATTAAAGATAAATTGTCACTTTACTTGCATAATCACATTGTTTTTAAAAATATTATTTTAATTTTCCAGAAGTCACTTCTTGCTGCTCTGTATAGTTCTGAGGGCTCTGTTATGGAGGTGAGTGCTTCTATCGTCAGTAAATTATAAAAGCTGTAAATAGAGATAAGAGACAGGGGTGAGAGGAAATTGTGAATTTGCAGTGCCAATTTCGCCTGAAGTAAGCCTAGTGTAAAACCATTTTGTAACAGTATATAGCTGTGTGTTTTGTATGAGAGTTTTAACTCTTTTTCTATTGTAATTTATTACTGTAAATACCATCGAAAGCTCTCTAAGAAAGTTATTTTTATACAATGTTTTTTATAGTTTTGTATAACAGTAAATGTAGTCTTGTACTTTTTGAAAATGGTTTTTTTATTCTGAAACATACCAAATGATAGGTCAATTTTTCAATACATTATTTTAACTCTTTCTAAAACTGAAATTTTATTCTCTCTCCTGTACCTAGTAATTTCAAATCACTCAACACATTTCATCAATATTCTGTATAATCAAAACTTCGCAAACTGCCTTTAAATGAGCTTTCTTTATAACGTAAATGACATATTGATATTATTTTACTTGTATAACAAGAACCTTCAAAGCCTTGTTTATTGTTATAGAGGCATCACTTTGCTCAATCAATGGCAATCATAAATACCGAAGGCTGCAACGTATTTGAAAGTTTGTCCAGAAAAGTAAGTAAATATATTTTAAGTTGCACAGGAAACTTATTTTTGAAAGTAAAATGATAATACGGACGCACACTTTAAGAAACAATTGCATAATCGTGTAATATCATAACTATTAGATAAAATTAATTAATACCTTCCAGCAGTGAGATTACACGTTTAATCACATTATTTCTGAAGGTTGAATCGCCCAAATATAGGAGGTAAGGTTCATTATAGTCGGGGTTAATATTTTTTTATTATTGTTATTTGTTGCAGTGGATCAATGATCCTAAATCCTTCCAATGTTAAAGCGAAGAAAATGTGTGTATAACCTTGTATAGCTGTTCAAAGCTGAGGCTGCACTTTAAAAACGATCCCTCTAGAATTAAATTGTAAATACTATTAAAATATAATTCATTTTCCTGAAATATGTAAATCATTTTACTGTAACGATTTGACCAAATACTATTTATCTTATAAAACATTCTTTAACTGAAAGTCATAGGATAAATTTTTCATTATATTTTTAAAATAGTGCTCTACTAGTTAAACTTGAAATATGGCACGTGTCAGTTTGGATATTACACATTTCCGTTTTAAATTACATCGAGAAGAACATTACTACGGCTGACAACTGTAAAAAAAAAAAAAAAAAAATATACCTAGTGTAGTAAATAAATATATTCAGTGAGTAATGAAACAAGCACAGTTAGATGTTTATGGTAAGCGTTTGAATGGCGCATCGCCCTTCATACAAAAAGAAAAAAAAAACGCAGAAAATATTAAAACCACAGGTAATTTTGTGGTAAGAAAATCCATGTCTTTTAATTTTAATTTCTTCAAAATAGTGTTGGCAGTGTGATACCTGTCATGTAAGAATATGGGTATTTTGTTAGAAATTGATTAGTATCCTTTTCCAGGAATACACGCAATGTTTGGATTATGTTCGTGACATTATCTTGGCCACAGATTTGGCTCATCACCTAAGAATTACCAAAAATATCGTAAAAATGAAAGAAGGTGAGTAAATAAAGGTAACTTATTGTAATACAGAACAGAGTAACTCACATTCACATTAGATTATAGAAATCTTGTTCATATATTAGAGTAAACATATATAGTGCTTAAATATTAAACTTTGGTAAGTCAGTACTTAAGAAATGAGGAACTTAAAGTTTTACCATTTTTCATTGTATTTATTTACTATTTTCTATGGGAGATATTTCCTTAAACAAGCGAATGAAAACAAATGCAAGTAAATAGGTAAAACTGATATAATACGAAACATAATGGGGATTTTGGATTTTGTAATCTAGTAATGAATGTTATAAGATTTTCTTTTCGTGCAAAGCTACACCAAGGCTATCTATACATAGCAGTCTCCCCAATTCAGAACTGATAGACTAGAGGGAAAGTGGCTAGCCCACAGCACCTTTCACCAACTCTTGGACTACAACTATATGAATAAATATGGGTATTTGTCTGTTACTCTTATAACTCGCCCATATCCTCAAAGTGCGAAGCACGTTCTTTGCGAGAACAACACGTGAATTACGAGCCCCTCAGATTCATAGTCCGGGCACGCTAACTAATCGCTAAGCTGTCCCTGGCCTGAAGTTTTAAGAAATTTGAATTTTTGTGTAGATTTTAATTGAGCGTTGAACAAAACTAAGACGATTGGATTGGTTATTCCTTTAATCAGTGAATGTTTATTCTCGTATTTCAGAGGGTTACAATCCGGACAATCCAGAACATCATCAACTACTTCTCTGTTTATTAGTAACATCTTGTGATCTCTCGGATCAAACAAAAGATTGGATGAGCTCGAAAAAGATAGCGGTGAGTAAAGTTGTCTAGTCTACAGATGTATTTGATGAGCATACATATTATGCTGGCCTGGGTAATTTTCTTATTCAGAAGTGACAGGATATACTTTTTTGATAATTATAGGATTTTTATGACAAATAGTCTTGGGATTTGGTTAGGCTAATTCTAATATGTTAGTAAATTATGTTAGATAATTTTACTGTTGAGATCAACATTAAGACATTCTGAGAACACTTTCTTGAACGAAAGTAAATAAGTCTCTGCATGACTACTCAGAATGTTTGTTTCAGGCTGGTTTGCTTCGGACATTTCCGCAAATCCACCCAATGGCTATCTACGCTAAACATACCTAATTTTGAACTTTTAGATTACCTAGTAAACAGCACTATTAACTATTGGGCTGTTCTAATCGAATAGCAGGTTTTTAAAGCCTCAAAGTGCAGAGCACAATTTTGTTTTTGTAGCAACTGGATGCGAACTATGGACCCTAGAATCCATAGTCCGACATGTTAACAACTCGAACGCACAGCCCAGTTTAGACTGTAAACACTCAGATGTGCCGTATATAAGTACTGATAATGTTTAACGAATAAGTAATGTAAAAGTTTTAAGTAGAGCATATACATAGATACGATTCTAAAGTTGCATACTTAAATCGTAAGAATTACTGTTTTCTAACTATGCTATTTTAAACCTCTTTAGTAATATATCACATTATGAATTATGTTTAGACCCTGGCTTTTAAAGTATTGTATTGTATATATGAATCGTTTGTCTCATCGTCCAGCCCAACTTCTATTATTGATACCAAAGGCATTTTGGACAGTGACTTGTGAGTGAAAAAAGATAGATCTGAAATGAGGTTTTTGCACGTCCCTGCTATTGAATCCGCTATGTACAAATTAAGAGAGATGTGGGGGGTGGGAAGCATCTGTAATTGGCGTGATTTTTATAACAATGTTCATGTGTGTTGGTTTCTAGTGACTTGCTTCTGTCGTTAGACCGCGGCTTTAAAAGATAATCAGTTACTGTTCAACCTAGATACCTTCCATATTTCGTGGTTTTATAGTTACTGTTATTTAAATTGATCATGCAATTGAATTTATTAAATTTGTGTAATTAGCTTTAAACTATAGTTTCAACTAATCACAATGTTACAATAAAACTGCAGAGGCGTTGCTAGGCGCTGGCCCACGGAACCCACTTGATTCTGTTTGACAGTGCTCCGAATCCCCAGTTGATGTCTTGAAAAACTAGAATAGAAAACCATGATCGATATCATACTGAAACGCCGAAAATTCCCGCGCCTATGGGCCCGACCCTCGATTATTTTAAGCACCTAGCGACTCCTCTGAATAGAAGAAAAAACTAAGAACTCTCTGACTGTTGAAAAGCATAAATCTAACAGTTATAAAATTAACCATTTCGTTTTGAATACTTCAGAATGATCGCACCAGTATTTGAAATGTGGTATCTGTTTAAACAAAAAATATTCTTCCTTACTGTAATAAAGTTAGTCTTACAATATCATTCAACCTGATAGTGAGATCTGTATTAAAAGAAATTCAAATGTAGTATTCAAATAAAAATATTATTTGGACCAGCTGACAGTTTGGAAGAATATGTTTGTGAGCATTTACGTGTATGGGAAAAAACAATCGACTTTCTTGGATAACAAATGTTAGGCTCTGCACCTTCTTGTTTTCTAAAAGATGGCATTCAACCTTTTAGATTAATTTGTAAATGTTCATTCTCACTGTTTATTGTTAAAGATGTTTATATAAGAGTTCATCTAACAGTTATAAATCATATTTTCATAATCTTAATACCTAACTTTGTGTCTTCATTATTTTTTGTTTCGGTGTTTGATCAATATTATTGGTTTATCTACGACTCCAAAAGGGCTGTTCTATTTAATGAATAAGCTTATGTTCTTCTAATGCAGGAACTGGTGTACAAAGAATTTTTCTGTCAAGGAGATTTAGAAAAGGCCATGGGAGTTAAGCCTAGTGTAATGATGGACAGAGAAAAGGCTTGCATTCCAGAATTACAGATAAACTTCATTCATGGTGTTGTTAAGCCTGTGTATGAGTAGGTTGAATTTTGTTAAAAAGTAATTGTAACTTAGTAATTTTAAAACTTTATGAGAAATGAGAACGATTTGCATGATATTATGTCACAATAAGCTAATACTAAAATGAATCGCATCCGTCTTTACTGGCCTAATATGTGTTTTTCTAAAACATATTTAATAGCATTTCAACTACACGTGATTTTGTTTGTATGCGTTAACAGAACTTGTTAGGTCAGCAGGATTACAATATAAAATAATCTTATTGAAATGCTATTTATATCAGTCGTTTAGGAAATAATAATAGGAATATTAATTAAAATTATCAGTATCTTATTGTGACGTAACAAGACACCTAACATCGTTTAACATAAACGTCGGATCCATAGATTAGTATGTCAACTGATGAATCGTGGATCACCAGATTAAACGTTATAATCAAATTAATTTTAACACTTATAACGACCAGAGGTTTTACCATAAAAGTGACGTAACTACTAAGGAAGGATCCTTAACTTTACACACAAAGTTTAAATTCAACGAATAATATTTATGGGGTTTTTAAGTTATTTTCAATCATCAATAAAGTAACCTAATATAATTTACTTGTGTGATGTATTTGGTACAAAAATATTTTTCTTCTGAGTAAACTGTTATGTCTCTGGTCGTTTGTTAATTTCAGGTATAAATTCTTCCCGAGGAACTTCAGCGATACAATTCCTTTCTTAAATAAAACTAGTTTATTTATTTTTTCTGAATACAACTTTGCATTACACAGAATTTCTACAGTCACTTTAACTTCAACACACGCTATAATTCACAAGGATTCACGCACTTTACTTACGGTCACTACAGCTCGCTTGACTCAAATATCTGTCTCTATATCTCTCCGTCTGCAATTATTTGCCGGGCTTATATACTTAAATAGAGGGCGCCTGGAAAATACTAGAGTTGCCAAGAAAAGTCACGATCCTTCGAGAATCTCATGACGTGTTACCAGCGTCACGTGACTTCCGCTGTCGTAACAAAACCTTTAAAAATATATCTATTTAACCCTGCAAATAGATTAGGTCTCATTTTTGTTTGAATACAGTAGGATTAAAAAGCTGCTAGGCATTTTGTAATGCATGAATTCCTATTCTGTACAAATTTGTCATAATTACAATTCCCATCCACCCCTTTTTTTTCGTTTGAAGTAAGAACATTTTGCTTATTTTTACTTTACCAGGGTTCTCTACTTTTGTATGCAGTTTTATGCAATAAACCTAATGCTTAATAAAGCACTAACCAGCACTTGCAGAACCATAACTATTCCAATAAGAGTGAAGTTGAATCGAAAGTAATCATACATAAGCGTTTGCTGCTTTGAACAACTACTACTATCTGTACCAAATACCTTTGGTTTTTATCCCTTGTAGTTTGCTATCTTCGTTCTTCCCTGCAACAGAAGTAGCATCCAGGGCCGTGGCGAGTAACAGCATGTACTGGGAGAGAATGAGAGAAATCTATAAACGTCGATACAACAACAGCAGCTCATCCCTTGACTTGTTCGATGATGAAAGTCTAGAAAAAGAAGTAATCGGCGGGGCTAATTGTCAGACAGGTAATGTAATAGAATGTTCGAAATTAACATCATGCAGCAGATCTAAAGTAGCGTTGCGTATAAGCTCGTTTGTTAATTTCCGGTATAAATTCCTTTCTTAATTAAAACTAGTTTATTCTTTCTCGATACAACTTTATAATACACAATTTCCACAGTCAATACGTTTGCAATCTCGATAACAAAACACACACTTTATATTACCGTCACTACCGCTTGCTTGACTCAATTATCTGTCTATATCTATCTATCTGCAATTATATCTCCGTTTTATTTGCCGGGTTTATATACTAAAAAAAGAGGGCGCCTGGAACAGACTAGAGTTGCCAGGAAAAGTCATGATCGTTCTAGAAACTCGAGCGCGCATGCTTCCATCGTCGCGTGACTTCCGCTGTCGTAACAGTAGCATGCACGCGATTCACAGGCAAATCATTATTTTTTACAATAAGATAATATTAGTGTGTGCGTGCGTGTGTATATATATATATCATTATAAATAAAGATAATAATCCAAATAACAACAAAAAATAAGTTTAAATTATATTTTAACTTATTTTTAAACAAATGTTAATAATGCTAACAGTTAATTGGATGTTTTGCATTATTGCACAACAATGTAACGTTTATCTGGGGTCTAAAAGTGAAAAAACAGATTCCATATACGTATAGTAGTACTTTCTGTTGTATGTTTTGCATTTTGCAGTTTTTAAAAGCGTTTTGCGTTTTTTACCACTAGTTCGACCCTTGTTGATGGATCTTCACCCAATTTAGCATGAATGTTTGTTGGATCCATGCAGAGATGCATGCGGTTTCACATTTTGTGTTTTGCGGTTTTTATGGGCGTTTTTACGCTTTTTACAACTACATATAATGGAAGCAAGTTTTCATGTCATAAGGTAGTCTGTCATTAATCATGAATTTACATAACGTCCGTCCAAGGAACAAATACTCCAGATAGTAATAGTAATAAAATAAATAGATTAATCAATAAATTAAAAGTGAGAAATGTTTGTGTTTGTGCGAGGAAAACGATACATGTGAGTTTGTGCATAGGTATCTTTGTATGCCCCCCCCCCACACACACACACACTAACATAGGCAAAGTTATGAACAAATGAATTATTTCGTTTATTAATTAAAACTTATTTTTTATTCTTATATGGATTTTTATTTTATTTATAATGATATTTATCATTAATAATATCCTATTCTAATAAAAATTGATTTGCCTGTGAATCACGTATATGCTACTTTAGATCTGATGCATAATGTTAATTTCAGACATTCTGTATTTGAAAATCCTTGTGATATCAAACATTTTGTTCCTTTAAAGGATGGCCGTCCCAGCCCAAAACGTTTTGAACATTAAAAGAGCTATTTTAAATTAGCCATTTTTCGTGGTATAGCTTTTCCACTTTTTTTCTTTGTTTTCCTTTACAGGACGTCAAGTAACTTTTTTGTTGACGGAAATAATAAAAAAAATTGAAAAAAATAGGAATTCAAAGCCAGAAATGTAGGAAAATAGACAGTACATCTATATGTATTTAAATAAGATTTTGAAAAAAAAAGTTTGCCTCCTTCTCCACTCGCTATTTCTCTCTTAATTTTAATTAACAAAATTAACACTTCTATCTTTACCAACTTAAACAACGACTAAATATATTAATGACAATAAAAAAATTTACAGTAGAAATACAATGAATGTAGTATTGAAAAATAATTCATTTTTTAGACTTGATATACTAAACTTGGATAATGGATAGTCATAATATAATCGTCTTAAACAATGACTGAATGTGATAAAGCCTTCAAAAGAAACAAAGTGAATGTTTCATTTTAAAAGAATACACCACACTTTATCTGCACCATCTTGAGGAACGCTTAAATGTGTGGGACTGTATCAATAGATAAGGATGTAACAATGGAAATAAAATTATAGTGGCACTGAAAAAAATAGTTCTTTTGGGGGCTTTATACACTAAATTTACATAATTGGTAGTGATATTGTAATAATCTTAAATATTGACTGAATGTAGTAAACATTGTCTACAATAGTCACAATCAAATAGATGAATTTTACTTTGATGAAAAAATATTTCTGAAACTCGAACAAGGATACCTAGACTGATTTTACTCTCTTTGGATTGGAGAATTGATTGGATAATAGGTTCCTTCTAGAAGATGAACTAGGTTCTGAATTTCCTCCATCCTTTACTGATGAAGAACTGCATTTATTTTCATCTTTTCTTCCTACAGACGACGATTTACTACCACTGGCTGTTTTGCCCAGATTCTTCTCCCTTTTGTTATTCAATACTCTTTTAACTTTCATGTATTTTTTTCCATTTCTTAAGCTTTCTTTCTTCTTTGCTATGGCTGTAGCTATTATCATCTGTACCACACCCACTTTCTTCATATCATTGTTTTCTAATTGCTTTTTCAGCTTGCTGTTTCTATATTTAAGCAATTTTTCTGTACAGATGAACTTCCTCTAAATTTCAATTTCTGTTCTCAACAATTCTTTCTCTCCCTTCTTGTGTTTCTTCCTAGTTTCTTTCTTTTCAGTTTTTAACCTCTTCTTATTTTCAAGCTCAACCTTCTCTCTTTTCTGCCTCTTTCTTTCAACATTTTCTTCCTGCAGTCTTGTATTATAGCTGCTATACACCGTTTTAGCAGATCTTAACACTTTCCTATTGAGTGGAATTTTATGGGGCTGAAGCTTGTCTGGATATGAAAACTTCACCATGTCCTTAATAGTTCTTACACCATTCAGTTTTCTCCCTAATGGCAATTCTTTCTTTGGTGAAAACATTTGTATTAACAGGCAAACATCTCTACGTCTGCATTAACGTGGGGTATTACTAATGCTTTCTTGACAAGGAGAGTCAGAAATCTGCATTTCAAGAAATTATCCACCCTTTCCCTGTCTTCTTACTCATCTTCTGTTTAGTACACTTTCCACTCATCTGTAATGTTATTTATAACATTCTCTTCAAACATCAGTTCTTTATATGAAACCTCTACATCTATGACAGAACCTTAATATAAATTTTTCATCAGAAACAAACAAGCTAGTGCTTTGATCAACTTGTTTTCGAAAGAAAGCCTAGGGATCAGTTACTTTGATAGTGCAGTGTAGAATGACCGTATTCCAAGAATTTCTTTGTGCTGGGTCTCTATTTACATATTGGAAGGCTCATGTCTCGTTTCCCTACAGACAATGTCTTCACCACCTAGCTGGTTGTTAATGCCAATATCTACAATTTTTTAGGTCTTCTTGTGATATGCCATTAATAATACCTGCTTTGACAAACCGTCTAAGTATAGCAACTGAATCATAGGTTGATCAGTTTGAAGCTTTTTAAGAAAATATTCACGAATAACTGATAGGGATAACTAACAACAAAGAACAATTTGACTTTCATGTTAGGTTGTCTTATTGCTTCCTTTATATCTTTGAAGTTGATACTCATTGGCTTTGGGCACATGCGCCTTAAGGCTGGACCAATGCTCAGCCAACGAACTTGTTCTTTATAAATACTTCCTCGGGAATGTCAAGATCTATTTGTATGTCTTTGTAGTCATCTTTTTTTTTTCCAGACGAGATCTCGAATAGTTCAAATATACCTGTAGCTAATTGTTCTGTTTACTGGACATGTTCTGTTATGCCCTTGCTGAAGTCATTGTGCAATGTATGAGGATTACATGTATCTACATAAACATTCCATTGTGAATAATCAGCTTTGACTAGCTTGGAAACTTCTCTAAAGATTGTCTTGTTAACATATGGTCCATCACTATCCAAGATAACTAGGGATTCCAATGGCATGCAATCATTCTGTAATGCTTCCACCATAAACTTGGTAACATACTTTCCATCTACATAAGAAAAGAACAAGGACTAGTAAAACTGCACCAGACTTCACCATGGGTTAGGAACCAGTACCTTGTCAAGAGACCCATTTATTTCTTTACCTGTGGCTGAGAGAAGTGAAAAAGCTGGACCCAAACCATCTAATAATAGGCAAGATAGCTTTATTCTGCTCATACTAAAACTGTCCGCTATTGGGCATTTAAACATTTCTTTGAAAGTTTCAACAATACCATCACTAGCTTAGAAACTTGTTTGCTGCCCAAATAACTACCACTCATAAGATATCCTTTCTTGGTTCAGTATAAGTCAGAATTGTGTATATATATATAATTTTTTTTTTCCATTTAATGCCCCAGATATCTGACTAAAAGGCCCTGCCTTTTCATTTGCAAACTCTGTACTTTCCTTTGAGGTGTCAGTGCTTGTTTGAGTTTTGAATGCGAGTTTTGTCTGATTCGATGAAAGAAGGGAATTATTCGGCTTTTATGTTGGGATTCTGATGTATGTTAAATAATTTAAATCTTCTATTGTTACATTTGATTTCAGATTTACAGAGGGTACATTTATGCCTTATACAAGGTACCTCAATTAACATGTCCTTGGCGTGGTCAGGTAGTTTGGGCGCACAACTTGCAGTCTGCGGGTCGTGGGTTCGAATCCCCGTCCCAACAAACATGTTCGCCCTTTCAGCCGTGGGGGCGTTATAACATTACGAACAATCCCACTATATATTGGTAGAAGATTGACCAAGAGTTGAGGATGAGTGGTGATGACTAGCTGCCTTCCCTTTAATTTTTCACTTCTCAGTTATGGACGGATAGTGCAGATAGACTTCATGTAGCTTTATACGAAATTCCAAACAAACCAGTCCTTTAACACTCCACAATTTCAATTCATGTTCGTTTCCATCAACCTCGGGTAATAACTGTTCATTAGATTTAGTTTTATCTCCTAACATAATTAACAATTAGAAAACTTATCTGAAATAAATATTGAAATGTCAGATGGCCATGAAAATTTTCTAAAGCAGCTTCAGTTGTTGGATATTTTAACACATTTTCAACATTTATTTGAAAAACATCTAGATAGGTTGCTCTAGTTAACATTTACCCAGCATAAATATTTTGAAGTTTATTTCCTTCAAAACTGAAATGTTTCTGTTGTTACTACAATAGTACTTAATATTGCATTTTCCCATGTTAATGAATTTATCATCAGAATGGATCCAGGTAGTATATTCAACAACTGAGGTTGTTAATGGCTTGGTTGGGCAGGGGCATCACACCTGAGAGAAATACAAATGTGTTGAGGAAAAGTGCAGAAATATAGTCTTAAATTACACAATTTTGCAACATTTTTTTTCTGCAAAATGTTTACATTAAGTATGTCACTTTTCTTTGAATATTTGTATTTCTTTCTTACCCAATTTCAGAAATATAGGAAGAAATGGGTATTTCTGTGGAATATAGGAATATATGGGAGTACTTGACGCCATGCATTTTCCTCTAAAACAAAAGATTCCACTGAATTAAAATGTTAATTTTCTTCCCCTCAAATAAAAGAAAATCCTAAAAACTCCACTGTATCATTGTTATGATAAGATAGTATTTCAATCACTCCAAATGTATATTATCTTTGTCGTATCAACATCAAAATTACAGTTTTTCATAATTTAAGATAACGTTTTACCACTTCCAAATATACCATTACCCTGGTAATGTACAAATATTATCGATGTGGATTTTCGTTTCATTAGTAACCTATAATACATGTTCCGTATACAGAATGGTCTGTTCAAGATAAGATGTTTCGTTATCTGGAAGTTGTTTTATTATATTTCTTATTGTAGTTAAGTTTAAAAAAAGAGTGGTTACAACGTTGTAAAATATAGTATTGTGTTCCATCAATAAATATTAAATTAACAACACATGCACGTCTCTATGTTAATGAAGACAAAATCGGGGAAGTTAACATTAATACCGATGTGCAGTAACTAGCCGATATCGAGGAAAACGTTCTGTCTGTCTGTCTGTAGATGCATATCCTTCTAAGTGAGCTGACCGATCCAGACCGAACTTGGCTTGATAACTTAGTAGTCCAAAAGTAAACCATATTCATATTAAACGTTCTGCTATATTTAAAAAGTAAATATTTTATAGAATAACCTTTATATCGTTACTGCAGTAGCTATAGTAAATAGTTGAGTTTGAACGAAACTTGCACCACAACAAAACTGTACAAATCAAAGATTGTAACTAGAAGTTTCAGCATTTTGGCTTGTTTCCCATAATAACTAAAATATACAGGAATAAAATACCCAGCTACAATGCGGTTCTGTGCTGCTGCTTCTTGATCGGTTTTAAGTTGAGTTTGTGCGATCAGGGAGAATCAGGTACTAGTGAAGACCTCTTCCTTGATGGTATATTTATTTTCGGTTAAATGCTAAAATATTTACACCACGAGGTCAAGGTTCGTTCACTACGCAGGTAGTTACCCATGGAGAAGACAACTTAGGAGACTTCCCTTTGGTCTTCCTGGG